TGAGCCTGTGGCTTGCTTTCCTATTTGTTTTCACGTGAAATTGTATGTCTTTGAGAAAACTCTTTAGTAAATATTACAATTCCAAATAGGAATAGAATTATGAGAGTCCAGTTAGGAATTGAAATATGAATCCTATTAGGAATAGAATATCTCATATATTACCTATAAATATTGGGATGAGAACCAATTCAAGGTTATGAGAGAATGTGAGAACACAGGGTATTTGATGTAAAGTTTATTAAACACCATGGGAAGAGTGTCTTGGAAACTAGGATTGTTTCCACTCTATGTATTGGGTTAAGCATGGTTAGAAACTAGGATGTTCCGCTTTGTTTTATGTATTGAGTTTATGGTGTTGTGTACTCTTGTATATCATGTTCATGAAACTATAGTGGATTTCTCTCATCCGTGGATGTAAGCGGATTATGTCGAACCACGTAAATATTGTGTTTCTTTGTGTAGTCTGATTTTATTCCTATATTATTTATCTCGAAAGCATGTTTTCCGCTGCGCGACCTCCTAACAAACACTGCCTCTGTCAACGAGTCAACGTAATGAAAGTAGGGGTGAGCACGGGCAGCGGGTAGAACCGGAACCGAGGGTAAGAACCGGAACCGGAACCGAAACCTACCCAGAACCTGCACTGTGTGGGTAGGTTCTGGTTCCAATTTTTTGGAACCGCTACTGTGCGGTTCTGGTTCCGGTTCTTGCATGTGGAGGAACCGGGAACCGGAACCGGAACCTGTAAAAAGGGTACCCTATTTGGAACCTGTAGGGGATACCCGATTTAGAACCTGTTTTGGAACCTGTTTGGAACCTGTTTTGGAACCTGTTTGGAACCTGTTTTGGAACCTGTTTTAGAACCTGTTTTGGAACCTGTTTGGAACTTGTTTTGGAACCTGTTTTTGGAACCTATTTTGGAACCTGGACTATAATGAAATATTTGTTAAATGTAAATAATGGGGGAGTTTCTATTATTTTACATATAAAAAAATTTAAAATAGAAAAAGTTAAATTTTTAGAAAACATAATTAAATAAATATACGAATACAATTATACTTACTACATATAAATTACACCATATTAAAAGCTTTAATATATTATAATACATTAATATTAAAGTTTTGATCAATTAAGTGAATAATAACTGGAATGATGTCCATTAAAAGTGTTTTACATTTTTAATGTTATTAAAGAATTATTTTTGAATAAATAGTATATTTGATTGAGTAATAATATATTTAGTTATTTACTCAATTATCAAGTTCTAAGTATATCTATATAATTAGTAATTAATTAATTATATATGATAAATTGATAAACATTAATAAATTTAATTACTAGTTAAATTCATACTTAATCATTATTAACATTATATTATAGTTAAATAATTACTTAATTAATTTAATTTTATAACATTACTAAATTGATTTATAGTATAATAATTATAGCATTACATTAATTGTACTACTTAATTAATTGACTTATAAGTTATAACATAATTAAATAGTTAATTAATTGACTTATAATTAGAAATTAATTAATTATGCATTACGTTATAGATTATAGTATAATTACTTAATCAATTATAACATTTTATTATAAACATTAGTATAAACTTAATTAATGATTAAAAATTTAATTAATTATAATATTACATAAAAATTTATAGTATGATTACTTAATAGTTAATTCATATAACATTACATTAGTATGATTAGTATTATTATAACATTACATAATTAATAATTACTTAATGTGTATCATTATATATAATATTAGTAATTACTAATTACTACATAAACATTATCATAATACTTAATTAAATGATAAGAAATTTAATTAATATAAAATTACCTTAAAAAATTTCATTATAAACATTAATAAGCATTAAATATAGTTAAATAATACTTAATTAAATTATAATATATTATATTACATATATTTATGATCACTTACTTAGTTATAGCATTATATAGTTAAATGATTACATAATTACATATAGTTATGAATTTATAACTACATTATAACATTAGTAATACTAATTTAATATATTATTACATTACTTAATTAAACGATTAAAAATTAATAATTATAACATTACCTATAATTATAATATAATTACTAATCAATTATACATTCCATTATAAACATTAGGATATTAATCAAATGATTTGAAATTTATTAATTATAATATTAAATTATAGATTTATAGGATGATTACTTAATTCATTATAACATTACATTATACTATAAATGATCATATATTAATATAAAATACATAATTAAATGATTACTTAATTGATTATGAGTTAGATATTATGTTTTAAACTTAGCAATTACTAATTTACTACATAAACATTAGATAATATTTAATTAAATGATAAAAAATTTAATTAATTATAACATTACCTTATAAACATTAATTAAGCATTACATTATAGTTAAGTAATTACTCAATTAAATATAATATATTATATTACATTTATATTATTCACTTACTTAATTATAGCATTACATAGTTAAATGATAATAATTACATAATTAGTTATGAATTATAACATTACATTATAAACATTAGTGATTACTAATTTACTATATTATTAATTACTTAATTAAACGTTAAAAATTTAATAATTATAACATTACCTTAATATTTATAATATGATTACTTAACAATTATAACATTCCATTATAAACATTACTATATTAATCAAATGATTTGAAATTATTAATTATTATAATATAAATTATAGATTTATAGTTGATACGTAATCATTATAACATACATATACTTATAGTATGATCATATAATAATATAACATTACATATAAATGATTACTAATTGATTATGAGTTATGATATATGTTTTAAACATAGTAATTACTAATTTACTACATAAAACATTAGCACAATACTAATTAAATGATAAGAAATTTAATTAATTATAACATTACCTTATAAGATTCATTATAAACATTAATTAAGCATTACATTATAGTTAAATAATTACTAATTAAATTATAATATTATTATATTACATTATATTATGTCACTTACTTAATTATAGCATTAATAGTTTAATGAACATAATTACTTAATTAGTTATGAATTTATAACATTACATTATATAACATTAGTAATTATTATACTATTACATACTTAATTAAACGATTAAAATTTAATTAATTATAACATTACTTTTATTATTTGTAATATGATTACTTAATCAATTATAACATTCATTATAAACATTAGTAGATTAATTAAATGATTTGAAATTTAATTAATTATGATTTAAATTATAGATTTATAGTATGATTACTTAATTCATTGTAACATACATATAATATTATAGTATGATTATATAATTAATATAAAATTACATAATTAAATGATACTTAATGATTATGAATTATATTATAAACATTAGTAATGTACTAATTTACACAATACTTAATCAAATTATTATAATTTTATTAATTATAACATTATATTATAAATTTATGGTATGATTATTTAATTAATTATAACATTCTATTATAAAAAATATTACAATACTTAATTAAATGATTAACAATTCAAGTATTGCTTAGAGATTATAGGTTGTAAGTTATACTGGACACAAATGAATGAATAATGAAAATTTGTTAGGGGTGTATTTGTAAACTTATAAGGTGTTTTTGTTATTTTTTAAACTAATAGAGGGGTAATTGATTTTTTACATGATACCCTAGAAAGGAACCGGAACCTGCATTTTAGGTTCCGGTTCCTTGAATTGAAGAACTTGTACTGTGCGGTTCTGGTTCCGGTTCTTTTTTTTGGGAACCTGCACTGTGCGGTTCCGGTTCCGATTCCCCCGGAAAATGCAGGGTACCCGGAACCGCTCACCCCTAAATGAAAGTATGCGTAAATGGTTTCAATTTGTTGTGTATCAGATGGGAGCTGTTGAAGTAAGTTTTGAGGACATGCCTAACACATCGGCTACTCAAAAGGATTAACTGGAGAATCAGTTGATAAGATTTTAAAGATCACAATTGGTATGATAAAAATGTAGACGATTCTGGGGAAAAAGTCGCTTGCTCAATTTGCCTTCAGGCTCGGCTATTAAATTCAAGTTGATTATTAGGAAAGTTAAATCATAAGCGTAAGAGGTTCAGAAATGGAGATTTAATTGTAACAAGCCAGATGTACTGTAGAATGCCCAGTGACATTGATAAAAGCTTGAAAATACATATCTATATCTATATAAGTATAACTTAACCACTTAAAATTTTATTTTATGGGATCTATTATCTACATAATTAATTTTTATTTTATTTTATGGATATGTAATTGTAACAACCCAGATGTACCGAAGAATGCGTAGACGTACTGCCTCGTTTTGGGCAGTCATTTCCAGAAAATTTTGAGCTGGAAATTTTTTTGCTGGAAATGCAATTTGATGTGAGGCAGAGTTTGAAAGACCAGGGTTCAATTTGGTGCTGCAAATACAATTGTGTGTATTATAAGCAATCCAGTTGCAAGTGATGGAAAAACCAGTCAGCGCATCACGTTTTAATTTTTTAAGACAGAATTTCTACATCAACTGTTTCTAATTTGTACCCATTTGCTTAATAAAGATTTAGTACAATGCTATTGACACTCTAAAAGGTTGGTGACAGCCTGACAGGAACAATGGAGGTCCTACAACTCCAGTCATCCAACTGCCCATCCACCTGAATCACTTTCATTGCAAAGACGGCTAGGCCCTCCTGTTTGTTGGCATGGCAACAATGTTAAATATCATAATCCTACTAAGATAACCCCAAATAATTAAAGATCCGAGGTCAGCGCAAAATATGAGAATTTGTAGACTCAGAAATAAGGTGAAAAGCTAAGGTTACAGAAAAACCAAAGTATTCATTCATTACAATTGAAGGTGAATATACAATATCCTTTGCTGATCTATAAGCATGAGATTGATCAAAACTTGCTTGAGTATAGGAACTGTGTACAAATACGTGAACTTTTTACAGAATTCAACTCAAATCAATGTGTATATCGGGGGGAATAAACAAGAGCATTTATAGAAGGAATGTTGGGCTTGTTACTGGATTAAATGGGCTTGTTTCTAAACAAAACCTGCTGCTTCTTTTTGATCGGAAAGAGAAGAGGACATCTTTTCAAGCAATGAATTAAAATAGCTTCTGTCAACATCAGTAACGAAATCCTCATCAATATCCTGAATGGCTTTTGGCAGCTCAACGCCATGCTCCTGGCGCCATTGTGAAATAATTTCATGCACCAAGCGAGTAGGAATGAGTACTGTATGGGAGACGACTATATGGATTTGAGGGCATGTTCGGTTGCCTTCATTTAGCCACTTCTGGATCCAAGGGCAATCAAAAGTCTGCAAATCCAATACAGATTTAGAACTAAAATGAATAATACTGTGATTTATCAGATCATTTATATTATGGACATGAAAAATTCACAAGAATCCCATAAGAAAGCAGAGACATGAACTGAAACTTTTCTAGAGATGTTTACAGAATTACAGTACACTCCAGTTGAAGATCACAGCATAATATATGTTAAGGCCGTAAAAAAATTTATCTATGGAACAAATAGGGTGGCTGCACTTCTAGAAACTTAGCTTCAGAAAAAAAATTCTTTATAAAATCCTAAAGAATCCAACAACTATCTGCGTTAGTAGTAGGGTTTTGAATGTCTTTTAAGTTTTAAGCCACCTCTTGAGAAATCAAACATTAAATGAGAACTTTTCTCTAAACAAAAATTTCACCATTGAAATAAAACCAAATAATCATCTAACAATACAGGGCTCAAACTTTCTGGTTAGATGATGTGATCAACGCCTTGTAACTCCCACCTAACATTCAAATTCCTTCATCAACTTTTGGCTATCTACCAACAAACTAGTGCTTAAGTTATATAGAAAAGGAAATCCAGAGAGAATTGTCAGAAGTCAGACCAAAGCAACTTTTCGAATTTCACAAAGTAAAAATTGCACAACATTACAGTGCCCCGATGCTTAAAAAGTTGAGACACCTAACACAGAAAAAAGTTTCAAATTCAGTACAACAATTCTGCAAAATCCAAACCCCATATAACAAAATTCGAAAGAAGAATCATATTCCAAAAGTATTGAACACTTAACAACCCCACCACCACTAACCCACACAAAGTTCAACAAAAATAAAAAATAAACATACCCTGATATTAACAACCAAAATTAAGTTGGAGCAATAACTAACCTGGCCATTAGCCAAAGCAACAGGGTCAGCCCACAAAATCTCCAGAAATAGGACCTGAACACTTCTGGAACATCCAAGCAGTCAGCACTACTAGAATGAGATTTCTTCAAGTGAAACTCTTTCAAACAAGACAAGACCCTCAAGGCCTCATCAGTTACTTGCATGCCATAATCATCTTCATCAAGAATGGTCTTTAAAAGTCTCTGTAACTCCTTTTTCAACTCAAAAACCTTCCTCCTTCTATGATCAGTCTCGTGAGCTTCTGGGTTGGCCATAAGAGACCAGTCTTCAAAATGAGACTGATAAAAAAGATTGAAACTTTGAACCACAAATGAACCAAGAAAAGCCGCAGGAAGCTTTAGATGCAAAAGGGTGAACATGGCTATGTAATGAGTGTCGAAACGAGGCAACATCACCGTACTACACCATAACTTTGCTTGGCTTGTCCGCCATTCAGAGCTGAAAGAGTGCAGAGAGAATCGTTTTTGCTACTTGGGTGGGATTAAAATTATATTTGATATTTCTGCTTCTATATCATTTACAACTTCTCTCTCACAGCAAAATTCTAACAAGAAGTTTTCATTTTTCCTGTCAGTTTATCATTCAGCAAAGGATAGGTAGGGGCTAGGGTTTTACAAAATTGAAATTGGGTTTGAAAAAATTTTAGGGTTCAAATGATTCTGAGGAAGGAGAGATTTCGAATTTTAGGGTTTTGAAATTTTAGGTTATGCTGATATGTGAAATTTTGGGCTTGAAAATTTTGAAATTCGAAATTTGATGTTTAATTTTTTTTTTTTTTTTTTTTAATTATGGGCGCTTGAGTGTCGTGGGCTCGTGGCAGACAGACGGCGTGATAGATGCGTGGCATTTATGGTAAAAGAGAAGAAGGGATAAAGCTGACATTGTCTATAATACTTTTATTTAATAAAGTATCTTTCGTATCAATAAAAATATCTTAGGTTGCTGTTGATTTATTATTTTGGATAAGATTTTGGTGATAGGATTAGATAATTGAATATAAGAGTATTACGAGGTAAAATTTAAAAATTTATAAAAAAAATCCTCTAAGTTTACTAATTTAATAAATACCCCAATATGTAAAATGATAAAAATACCTCCACCACCTGCAGTGCAAGATTCCAGCTACCACCGCTAGAATGTGGCTGAAAATCGCGTTACGACACAGACTGGTCGGATCTGTGTCGTAACACATCGTTATGGTCTTTTCCGGCCAGATCCACCACGGATTTAACCGAAAAAAGCCAGATCTAAGGCCTGTCGTGGCCGTCGACGACCGAAAAAGGCCAAAATGACGGCCATCGTTTTCAGTCAACGATGGACAAGATTGGGTCGTCGTTAATCTCAACGACGGCCATTTCTTTGGCCGTCGTTCATGGCCAGATCGGTGAACTTCCGGCCATTTATGGTCGTCAGGTAGGCCGTTGTATAGATTCCGGCTACCACCAACGGTGGTTGCCGGAATCTGGCAAGTATGGGTCACGGGGGTGTTTTTGATCATTTTTAAACTTTTTTTTTAGGTGTATTTGATGAAATTAATAACCTTATGGGGTCTAAAAGTAATTAAAAAAATAATATAATATTTCTGGAATAATGTACTAAACATTATTTGGAGAATAGGATTGGGAATAGGGATAAAAATAATAAGCCAAACATAACCTTATTTATTTTTTATATTTTTATTCAAACTCATTTTTTAATTTATATTTAAAAGAGAAAAAGTCAGATACAATCTTGTTTTTATTGAAAGATTCTTTATAATAAAGAGTTTGGATCATATAAAGAATAATTTGAAAATGCTTTTATTTGATTAAACCTCAATGGTGCGTTTGGTTCAGAGAATATTAGATTTAATAGGTATGTTATATTAATATATTTGGTTATGAGGAATAAATTAGTGGGTATGTTATTTAAATTACTAAATTACTCTCTTTTTAAATATTAATATAATATTATTTTTATTATTAATTTTTGAATAATTTCTTTTAACCCCCAAAATTTCAAATTTAGCTAAAACACCCCGCTTCTATAAAAATTTAATTTATAACAAAATCACCCCCACCACCCCAAGCCACTGCCTGCCATTGCCATCCACCGCCCGGAAGTCGCCAAGAGTCGTTGGGAGTCGTTGTGAGTAGCCCACCATCACTGGGAGGCTCCGATATGGCTGTTTTTTGCCATATTGATGGTCGAAAACACCACATCGAAGTAGATCAGGCTGAAAATAGTCAGATCTATTATGACAATTTCCGACTAGATCGATAGATCTGGCTGTTAACAGCAAGGTCTATTTTGGCTGGAATAGATTTGGCCATTAACGGTCATATCTTACCCTGATATGGTCAATAAAGGCCATAGATATGGCCGTTAATGGCCAGATATACTCCGATAGGGGTGTTTTCGGCCATTAATATGGCTAGAAACAACCATATCGGAGCCTCCCGATGACAGTGGGCTATTCACGGCGACTCCAGGAAACTTTCGGAAACTTCCAACGACGGATGACGGTGGTTTGATTGGTAGCAGATGGGTGAGGTGGTGGCTTGGGTGGGTTGCAACTTATTTTGAATTTAAGGGTAATTTTGTCTAAAAGGTTAATTAATTGGGATGAAATAGTAAAGGTCAGATTCATGTAAATTAATTTTAAAACAAGAATATTATTGTCCTAAAATTTTATTAATAAATGATAGAATTGTAATAAAAATAAGATTATCTTAGTAATCTTACAATACCTAAGAAACTTGAAGTTATTAAATTACCTCCAATATTACTAACAGTAAATATTATTAGTATTGAAAAATTATCGAAATCTTATATTACTTAACAACCAGACATGATAATCAAGTAATATAAAATGATATAACTCTAGTTATCTCATACAACCTCCAATCAAAGGTCTACTAAGGGGTTAAGATCAAAACCCCTTTTGTTGAATAATCCTATTTTTTTTTTAATAAAATAATAGGGGTAAAGATGGCTTCAAGGTATCCTATCGGATCATCTATATAAAAACCAAGCCATTCGACAGTGAAGTTGTCTTGAAACTTACAAAATTACAAAAGAATGTAATATATTTTTATCTTTAAAGTACAAAACACCGGATTTGCGAGGGATGTAATCATGTGAACAAAAAATTTGAAGTTTCCTATCTGATGATCATTGTTGGAATTCTCATTAAAATTCACATAGCGGTTATTGAATAATTTTCATTACCATGGGGAGGCCAACAGGGGAAGGCTAATTATGCTACATTTTATAGCTCTTAATAGAGAAGGATACATTTTGAGGGATGTTTGTCTAAGCTTATAAGCTGGTCAAACTAACTTATAAGCTCTAAAATTAAGTTGACCTGTTTGTTTATAATCTGGCAAAATAACTAATCTGTTTCAGTTGTTGTTACAATTTTCTTACTTTTCTGCCTTTCTTTCAAGGGTAAACCAAATATAGTTATGAAAAATTTCCTGTTACAATTATCTTATAAAATTTACCAGGACATGTTACATTTATAACAACAACTGAAACAGATTAGTTATTTGGTTCACAACTAAATTTGAACCTATGTTCTGTTACTTGTTTTATAATCTTTCAAAATTTTACTATATGAGATTTTCTCCTGATCCAAGCTTTTATCTTGACAAAAACAGGTTTCTGAAAAGTAGTTAAACGCAATAGAGGTCATATTAATACCTTGTAGACATATTATTGCATACAATATTACCATTTAAATCCCTCACTTGGAAGATATTGAGAAAGAAGTAAGCAACGATATCAAAATAGCAGCACCATTTATGTTGGGAGATTCTCTTTTTTTGTGTGCATGATTTACTGAGAATAACATATCATCCTAAAAAAAGCTGTAATGAAGGCAATTGATTGTGCTTTCACCATCAGAATGTAAACAGTAGAACTTGCTCTTTCTTTTCAACATGTCACATGAGATTGTCCATCTGATGTAATCGGTTTTTTTTTTTTTTTTTTTTTTGACCGAGGGTATTTAGGTCAGTTTACGCATACTTTAACTAATCCCTCGAAACTCTAGAACTACCGGTTGGGTAAGAGCTTTAGTAGTTATCCCTATCAGCATTCGAAGAGGGACTCGAACTCAAAATCTCTTGAAAAATACATCCAATAGTCTCTATCGAATTGTTCGATCACCCAAAGGTAGTTAAGATATAATCGTTATTAACACAAAATTTTAAGTAATTCTGTTGGAAGTTGTATCAAATTAGCCAGATATTTATTTTCAAGATCCCTTTGATTTATCTGCCCCTTAAGGATCAAAATAACAACTTTAATATATAATCTAAGCTCACATAATTTGTAATTATATTCTCACTAGAAAAATGTTGTGTATCTTCTACAAAAGTTAATTTTGATCTCAGTTACAAACAAGTACATTTTGATGTCTTGGTTCTTGCTGCAAAGAGGATGACAATGAGCAGCAAGAAGTAACTACTGACATAGGCTTAAGTTTGTCTTGATTCTTCACGACGCTGCCTCGTATCAGTGACACCATGTACTCGAAGAAGAAGGAATCACACGGCAACGTAATGGGGCCATCACTTGGCAATCCAAACGCCTCCTCTGACATTTTCATGAGTTCCCGAAAAATGTCATTGTTAAGAAATGGAAGAGGAATCACAAAGCGCCTGCAATCCGTTGTGTACACAACAAATTGACCCTTGTTAGCCACATATGAAGTGTTGGAACCATTTAAATTGGCAAAACTGCTTGCCCTTTGGAACAAGATTCTTTTTCTTCCTTCTACGGCCGCCTTTCGCCACTTCATTGCCATTTTTATGAGTGTCTTGGTACTTAGCATGCTGTCTTAATGGAAAATTCTGGAAGTAGAAAGATTTCAAGCAAAGAATGTTATAACACACTATCAATTGTGTTGCTTTCCTGAGTGAAAATAATTGCAGATGGCCTAATTATATACTCAAACTTCTGAATGAAAATAATCTCTAGTTGCTTTCCTTATGTAAGTCACATTAGATGCAGAACCATGTGCTGATGTTTAGGAGCTCGGGACCTTGAAGCTATGACATGTTTGGTTCTGCCAGAAAATCAACAAAACAAGATTGAACATAGCTGAAAACTATCAACTCATTTTCAAGTGGTATAACAGATACTGGGACCAATCAATTCATCAATCTTATTTTCACCAAATTTTCAAGAACATAGGCGAAAATACCGACTCCTAATGTATATATCTAATCTTTCATTAAAAACTAGTACTAGAGAAGACGTCAAAAAACAGAACATGTGCATCTAAATATCCCTGGAATTAAATGTAAGAGGCTAGCGGATGCCTCATTCTTTCACCTGGACTTAAAACTTCTGTGGCTGACAATCACTTGGGACCCTCAGTATTCCAAATTCTAATTTGTTAGGGGACATGGCAATGCAAATAGAACATTGTGTGACTCAAAGAGAACTAGAGTCTAAAGATACGTCACTCCAAGTTGTGACTTGCAAAATGTGAACTCTTCCAATTCCATTAAAGCTGCTTCGTTTGAACCACATATTTATGCATATCTTGTTTGGTAGTTCACTCAGAACATGCTGGGGCCAACATGCTATAAGTGTATGTCTTGCACATGCCTAGATCTGCCAAATCATTTTCCCTTA